AAGAGACCCGTAAACATGTCGTATGAAGAACCTATTTTGAAGGCCATCTAGACCTTGATAGATAAGCATGATCCTCAGAGGTTTATTGGGATGGACAAGAAGCTCGAGAAACATGGGAATATATTGAAAGGACGTATTATATAAGAAAATGTATTTTTGCATTCTTCCCTACATTCATTCTGTCATTCCAGCCTCTATTTTTATGAAATTTGTTCATTGGATGACATCCTTGAAGTAGAAATACAGAAAGTTCAACCCACTGGAGAGCACTGTGGGTAACATTAGCTATGGAATTTGTAATATTTTGGAACTTGTTGTTAATGCCATGGATAATGTTGGGTAGTCTGGACTATTAGCCTAACTCATAAGATTGGGCTAACTCTACTTTGAGAGGTATGTTTGGCCCTTCATTGGGATACAATAGACGGGCTTGTTATATCCTACAGGCACACCAACCCATTCTAAAGAAGGTAAGGGTTTATGAGGTCATGTATGCTTCTATGTTCAGCTTTGAGAGTAATTAAATTCTAAGATTCAGCTGCAAATACATGTTGGATTGGATTAGTTGAAAAGAAATAACCCTTGCTCTGGATAGTTATTTGTTTCAAAATATTGATAAATTATGTTAAATAAGTATAGTAAGATGGTATTTATTAGTAGTTGTTCACCTATTTTCACTTAAATATAATTGTCACTTGATTCACAAATTTTTTAATTTGTGAAAAGTTTATTTATAAATTCATTAAATTTACATAAAGATTTACATACATACCACTCAATTCTATATGTTTACATATCTATATGTAAATTTCTCTTTTATTTTAGAAAAATTTAGATACATACCACTCAATTCTATATGTTTACATATCTATAGCGAAAAATACCTATGCAAAAAAATATCTCAGAAAAAAGAAGAAGCTAAATAGTGCTATTTCTTACGTGTTATGAAAGATTAGGTCGGGAGGTATAAATGTGAAAAAAACTTCAAATTCAGGCGTTAAATATGTAAATATAGAGGATTTGGGCGGTATCTGTGTAAATACCTCTTTATTTACAGTGTAAACATAAAATCTCATCTCTAGCCTTCTAGTTTCTCTCTTCCCCTTTTTCCTTAACAAAATTCTATTAAATCCGTTATTCTTTCATTATTTTGAGCCAAGTCAAACCTATTCCCATTTTACTTCTATCGAAATATTTATAATCTGGAAACAGTCGCATATGAAAGATGGAAAACACCCCGCTGTTGGTACATGTTAGGCACGGCGCACGAAACTGCGTCGATCCCATACACGACATACAGTAAAGATAAAAGAGGCCAAATTGGCCGAGGAAAAAAAAATTGCAGGAGTGCCAGCTGGCAACCGTTGAAGACTTCAACGGTCAAAAAACGCGAACAATTAGGTTAAGCTCCGCTCAGCAACCAACCCAGCCTTCCTTCTTTTCACATTACGATGCCCGCGTGCGGAAATTCAATACCGTTCGAAACAATACATAATAAATGATTTCGAAAGGATGTATCTGCAAATTTCGATGAAATGTTTGGCTTGCCATCTATAAATAGAAGAGCTCCATGATCCATCTTCCCATCCAAAAGTAGAAGGAAGCTATTATTATACATACTCTCCTTAGAACAGAGAGATTAAAGTGAGATATAGAAGAAGAGATGGCCGGAGGAGGTTTAGGTGGACGGCCGGTGATGGTGGTCGCCGTGTTCTTCGCTAGCCTTGCAGTTGTTGTTCCGATGATCTCGGCAGCCACGAGTCACACAGTTGGGGGTTCGACGGGGTGGACCATCCCGCCTAACGCCAGCTTTTATCCAAAGTGGGCAGATTCGCAGCAATTCGTCGTTGGAGATACTCTGGGTAATTATATTCGATTTATTTTATGGGATGCAAATAGTAAATTTTGTAAATGTTTTTTTGCAATCAAAATTAATGGTTTTGTAAGACGACAAGAATTATGTTCTTTTAGTTCAAAACTTTAAGCTATTCAATCTAATTAATGAAATCAATTCCTGACTACTTTCTAATTTATGTTGACCGGAATAATTAATTCATCGCTTGAACTGGATTGCATGATTTTATTCATTATAATTATAATATAAATATATGTAAATATAAAAATTAATTAATGATATTATTTTTATGTTATTTAAATATCTCAGATTTTATATAGCCTGAAAATTTATTTCCCGTTTACTAAAAATTAAAGCATAACGCCTCATAATCTGTTCACGTGTCTACAGTGTTTAATTTCCCAACCAGCGCTCACACAGTGGCGGAGGTCCCGAAATCGAGCTACAACGTATGCAGTAACCGCAACCAGGTGGGCCCCATCCTGTCCACCGGGCCCGCCACCGTCCCCCTCACTTCCGCCGGCGAACACTACTTCATCTGCACCATTACCGGCCACTGCTCCCTGAACCAAAAGGTAGCCATCACCGTCGCTGCCGGCCCATCTTCCCCGACACAGTCCCCCGTTCCCGGAGACTCTCAGGAAGGTCCGGCACCTTCGCCGACTGCTGGGGACCAGCCGGGAAGCTCCCCGCCGAGCGGCGGGGGCCCTCCGACGTCGATGCTCGGGATTGCGGTGGGGGCGGCTGCCGGGGTTATTATGGCGGTTGCTCTTTGGTAGATGAAGTGAAGTTGGGTGATTTTTTTGGTGATGATTTGTAGGGTTACTGTTTTTATGTTTGATTTCTATGTATTTTGAGTTGGTGATTGATTGAGGTTTTCATTTCTCCTTTCATTGTATTTTATTATTTTGCTTTTTGTAATAAGAGGAGATATAGCTATATTTAAATATATACATATATCAGTGATTGGGATTAATTTATTGATGGATTTAATATGAGTCTGGAATAATTCTAATCAAGGTTTATTTAGGTTGGATTTTCTTTTTTTTTTTTTTTCTTTTTTTTTTTTTTATCTTTTTTAAATTATAACAATAATGGAGGATTTACATGCATACCACTCAATTTTTATGTTTTTACATCTGTAACTCCTATACTTCAATTTTTTGCATATTTGTCAGCGTGAAAATATATATTTCAGTCTTTAAAAGTTATTGAGGTTATATAAAAGATTTTGGATGGCATATAAATGCAAGAAAATAAAATTTTAGGTGTTGGATGTGTGAATACTTTGGAATTGGGGGATATATATGTGTAAATAGCTAATATCAAAACAATCAATTGGGGTAATTATTTTTATTATACAAATAAAAATAATTACCCTAATTATTTTTATTTTTATAATAAAAATAAATCTAAACAATCAAAGATTTAATTGGGGGATATATATATATATATATATTTATATATGTAAATAGCTAATATAAGATTATTTTTATTGTACAAATCTTAGGTTTGACATCCTCAATATGATTAAATTATTTGATAGATACAACTCAATTATTACTCATTTGAAAGATTGATCAAGATAGGAAAATAGTTGTGATCGTCTAAGAATTCAATTTTATTGTCAACTAGTTTAATTATATTTGTTTTTTTTTTAATTTAATTAGATCTTTTATAATTTAATATGTTAAAAGATAACATATCTCTTAAAAAAAATAGTTATATTAACATATAATTTTTATTAAAATATGTTTATATAACTTCTCATTAAAATATGTTGATATTAATTATTATTAATATGAATTTATCTTCAATATTCTTTCTATTACATATGGCGGTACAAAAATATTTTTTTGTTACCATTTGGGTTGTTATCTGAGATTACGGTGTGGCCTGTGCTAATGGAAAGTCCGTTTACTTTATGATGTTGTGGGTCCCATATTTGACCTTGCGGCCACATCCTAGTGTTTCAACTTTCAACTTTGCTTAAAATAATAGGGAGAGAAAAAATTGTGGAAGATGGCCATATAATGCTGTTTAAATATTACTCTGTCTGTTATATTTCTAAGGAATTGTGAGTCATAGTCAATATTTTTAAGGGGCAATTACATACAGACCACCAAAAAATTTTATATTCACAAATCAACCATCCTCTTTAATCCATTTTTCAATTTCTCTCCCAAATATCAAAATTCATGGGAAAACCCCAACCCATTCTCATTAATTTGATGATGGCGTGCTTGTAAATATCAATATTTTAAGTGGCTGTATATATATATTTATTTTTAAATAATGGTTAAAATATATTGTTTATTATTCTAAAAATGATTTTTTTTTAATATCAAATTTAAATTAAGAAAAAAAGGCGGCTTGACTTGCGATAAAGTCCGTCAAGGGTATTGTTAGCTGGCTTATCCCATGCCCCCAAATTTTCTGCTAAACTATGAATGGGACATTAACACAGAAATTGAAGGAGTTACAAACATACCCTTCATTTTTTACTCATATTATTATAAATTTGATAAAAATAAAAATATGAGTTAGCTCTTTGTTGTGAAAATATGGGTTAACTCTTTGTTGTGAATTTTAATATTTAGAAAAATCATTTTAAAATAGAGATAAATAAAAAAAAAAATTTTTGAAAAACAATTAATATGAGTGTTAATGAAGTTGATTTGTTCAATGGCTCAAAAAAAGGTAAATAAAAAAAAATTAATGTTAGGCTACGTTTTGCAGCTTATGTCATAATTTACATGTTGAATTGGCCTAGCACTAATTTTTTTTATAAATTTTTTATTTTTAAAAATATATGTTTTTTGCATATGTTTCTTTATCATTTATTTTTCTAAAAAAATAAACTATTTTAAAAAAACAATCAAAATAATTAAAAAAAATTAAAGTATTTTTAAAAACAACTATCAACATTAAACATTAATCATGTTTGTTGGTAATCATCAGCTCCATTGGTAGTTGTCACTATCACTCTCAATAATCATTATTGCTATCATCGTCTCTGCTCTCTTAATAAAGGCCATTACATTCCCTTCATAAATAAACAAAAATATATATTTTAAAGAAAATAAATATATTTTATTTAATATTAAATGTAAATAAAATAATATATAATAAATAATAAAAGCAATCCCAAACAATTTATTTCATGTTTACATTTTACACAACAATCAAATTATATTAGATAGGCAATTTTCAAATATCAATATATTAAACATTGTCAACAAGAAAGACTTGAAGAAAATGATCTATATTGAAGAAATTTGTCATGTATTTTTTTACATATGTGATGGTAATATGTAACAATACTCCCACGTAAGCTCATGTAGTTTGAAAAATTATTGCAAGGTGAACAAAAAAAAGGTGTGTGGTTGAAGGGAGCAACATCCATTTGGCTAACAAAGGAGTAGAAATGAAAATTAACACTTCAATTGAGTTTATTTTTAAGTGGACAAAGAAGTTTGACCACCAACAGAATTAAAAGATGTTAGAGGAAGTGGAGATATATAGAATACACCAAAAAGATTATATATATATAGAATGCACAAAAAGATTTTAAGTGATTGAGTATGGTGGTCTACATCCACTGTAATAGAGAAGGAAAGAGATGACAAAACTATGGTAGGAAAGTAATATCATCTCTAAAACAAAAAAGCTAAGAAAATTAAAAGTAAAAACCAAAAAAAAAAAACTTTAAAATTAATATTAAAGCTCCCGCAACTATGGTAGGAACATAATATCATCTCTAAAACAAAAAAGCTAAAAAAATTAAAAGTAAAAACTAAAAAAAAAACTTTAAAATTAATATTAAAGCTCCCGTTAAATCTAGCTATAAGCTATTGTGACAGCTCTTTATAGTAATAGAGCATGAGTTTGCCCCTAGTATGTAGCATGTATAATGTGTGCAAGCCCCTTGAGAAGGTTGAGAAGATGTTTATTAGAGAGATGTTAACTTGAAACTTATTCCAATTGATGTGTGCGACTAGACCTAGGAGCAACAAAGATGGCAAATCGGATCATGAAAAACTTATAAATAAACATATGATAGGTGATTTGCATTGAACAACTACATGATTAATAGGGGTTTGATTTAATGCTTCATGGCAACATAGATTTTTAATAGATATGTAGTTTTATTGTAGAAAAAAATATTGATAAAGATGATACTCCATATAGAAGATATTCAGGTAATGATATTCATTAAGTGGCACTATTAGGCAATGATGATTATTTAAGCGCAGAAAAATGCAAAATTTATCCTTAGAAGTCTCTTAAGGATAAAGTTTCTTAAGGATAAAATTTTCATTTACCTTATTGCTACTATCGATGCCACAAAGACACAGTTTGGAGCAAACTGGATTTCTCGGTGGGTGGTGGAGTAGTGCTAACAAGCAAAACTATTATTTCTTTTTGATAGAAATAAAAATCATATCTATCATATGTTCAAACTCTAGATGCATTCTTGTAGGATTGACTTAATAAAAAAAATGTCAAGGCTTCTCTTAACTTTGTGGTTATCATAATGGGATATAGTTTTTCATCATGATCATACCTTAATTTATCTCAATGAGATATTTGTTTTGACGTCAACATCTCCAGTAACTTTTATGTTGGCTGACACTATCATGATGACTAAAAAGATACAAGCAAGCTGATGCGTACAGGAAATTTGATCATACATGTATTATTTTAATCTAATTTTAGATTTTTTTTTTACTTTTGGTATGTGTTTGTGATTTATTTTGCATGATTCGAGATAAAAAGATCGTGAAAGCTTGAGAAGTGGAGAATTGAGCAAAGTAGAAGAGCAATGTCCAGGCGTCGAAATGGAGCGCTTAGGCACTCAAGGTACACATTCGAACCAAAATGACAAAGAAGCCAAAAAGTATATGATGTGTTGGTGGTACCTAGATGCCTAAGTGACCAAAACCCTTGCATGTAAATCGAGCAGGTGGAAAGTATGTGTTGAACCTTCTGCGCATAGGCGCTAGGAACCAACACCAGGTGCCACAAACTAGCACCTAAAAAATAGTTCATGCATTGTGGTGGTTTGATCAGTTCACAGGCACTGATTCGTGAAGGATAAAAGAAAGAGCCATTGTCAATGACTCAAAGATCACTCCACACAATGAAGGACTGAAGGAGAATGTTGGATTTCAAAGTTCAAGAGTAAGAGAGTCAATTGTGAAGTGCTTGTAAGGTTTTTGAGTGTGTAATTACTCTTATAAATTTAGTAAATCATTTGGAGGGAGAAGAAAGACGAGTGCTCAACCTTATTGGTGTATTCCATCAAGATTTATATTTTCAACTCTTACTTTTAATATTTATAATAAATTAAATGTTATTTACATTATCTCCGAGCATATTTAGTTAATAGAACCTATTTTCTTCCTTGAGTTAGTAATATATGATTTTTGAGTTTGTCTTTTCTATTGTGATTTCTCCGTAGATTTATAGTGGTGATGAATTAAAATTCTTCTCTTAATTGATTTGCAATCTGATGTGTTGTGCAGGAGCAGAAAATCGAACTATAATGTTAATTCACACTAGTTTGGGAGAATAGCTTCTAGCTTATTTCCCTTGTGACGGGGGGTTTTGAGTTAATAACACTTGATTTAGGGAACTAAACTTCTATGATTACCAAACTTTATCAGAGGCCCGAGAGGGGAGAAGAAAACTGCTTTTGATTGTCAACTACAAAATGAATCCCTTAGTCAGACTTAGATTCTTGAGTAACCAATTAAGAGGAAAATTTTGAAGTGTTAGAAAACTTCCTACATTTTCACCTTGTTAACCTAGGTTTCACTTTTCAAAACTTATGTTTAATAATTTTTAAAATAACAAAACTTCAAACCTTTGAGTGAGGGGTGAGAAGAAAATTGCTTTTGATTGTCAACCACAAATTGAATCACTTAGTCAGACTAAGGT